AGTGTAAGAGCAAGAGATTGTCCCAACCGACTGGAGCCGCTCCGTTATTGTTCCCATCTTCAAAGGAGGCTCGCGTTCGGAATGCGGCAACCATAGAGGAATCAGTCTGATCTCCATCACCTCCAAATTGCTTGCCTCTATAATCCTTCACAGACTGACTGGCGCTCGTGAAAGCCAGATTCGTGGGGAGCAAGCCGGGTTTCGTCGGGGTCGTGACTGCATCTACCACATCTTCACCTTGCGTCAATTGCTGGAGCACCGTCACACATATTGGCGGCCTATCGTAGTCGTGTTCCTTGACATGAAAGGTGCCTTCAATTCAGTTGATCGCTGTGCCCATTGGAATTGTCTACTCAGGAAAGGTGTGCCCGAGAAATATGTAAATATTATCCGAGCATTATACGTGCGTAGCACGGGCAGAGTGAGGGCTTACGGCAAGCTGTCGTCGCTCTTTAATATCTCCAGCGGTATGAGAAAAGGATGCCCGTTGTCACCTTTCCTTTTCTACTTCGCTATTGACGAAGTCATGGAGATTGCATTTACAGGACATGACTTGGAAGGTGTGGTGCTACTCTCAGGAGAACGACTTCTTGACTTGGAGTATGCAGACGACATTGCCCTCATCTGTGACAGCTCCCAGACGTGCCAAGCTGCACTGGAAAGATTAGCACTGGCTGTCTGCCGCTTCGGGCTTTGCTTTGCACCATCGAAATGCAAAGCGTTCCTCCAAGCTTGGCAAGGATCGCCTCCTGCGCCGACTTTTGGTGGGGATCAGCTAGAAGTCGTTCAAAAATTCAACTACCTGGGAAGTTGTATCAGTGCCCTTGGGATCGAAGACGAGATTACGAACCGTATAGCAAAAGCTCGAAGTGCCTTTGCTAATCTTCGCCACCTATGGCGGCGGCGCATTATTCTCGCCCTGAAGAGTAGAGTGTACAATGTAGCGGTAGGTTCGACCTTACTATACGGTTGCGAAATCTGGTCCCTTAGATCGGCGGACATGAAGAGGCTGGTTACATTCGACCACCTGTGCCTTCTTCGCAGTTTTGGCTCACATCTGGTTGGAACACCGGGTGAGTAACGAGCGTGTTCGACGCCTTGTTTCCGGCACAGGAAAGGGAACTGAACCGCTCAGCACCGTTATTTCCCGCACCATACTATGATGGCTGGGCCACATGTTGCGCATGCCAGCTCATCGACTTCCACGACGTGCGTTGTTTGCTCACCGGGATGTGGACGGAAGAAGAGGTGACCAAGCGATGACTTGGTCAGGAGGAATGAAGGCCCTCAGTTCCAAGCTGGCCTCGGTTGGAGCGTCTCGGCTCCCTGGTTGGGGTCCAAAAGACGGTGAACACGTTTGGCTGGATATACTTGCTGACATGGCCAGGAGCCGACCCCAATGACGTTCCTGCTGTGAGTTTCTTTGTCCCTCCCCATCCCTTTTAGCCTCCCCCATCACCTACGATTTCATTTCTTAGCGTAAAACAATAATTTTTTCGCCTGGTAGCTGGCTGGTAGCTTACCGGAACAATATCTATCCGTTGCTGGTACCTCAGCTGGCATGCAACTTTTTGTATTTATTTTCCTTTTTCATTTATGTATTGCGGCACAGTAGCTGAGATACTTCCCACCTCTAGTTGACGTGTATAATGATATATATATATATATATATATATATATATATATATATATATATATATATATATATATATATATATATATATATATATATATATAGAGGACTTTGAGCCTACGAAGGGGCCAGATAACCTCCGAGGTATTTAGAAATGCAGGATGTGGGGTGCATGATAGGTTCTGTCTACTTTTAGCTTATCTGCGCTTCTAGAACCAGCGTGAGAACAAGAGTGCGGCATCGGGGCTCTTATTCGCTATTAAAAATGCCATCTGGCTCGTTAGACAGTGTACTTCAAGGAGCAATACGATCTGCTGGCTGCCTATGACCTGCTTCGCGCTAAGCTAGCGTGGGTTGAACTTTAACCAATTAGTTTTGTGATTCAAACCGTATCTGAGGTTTGAAACGTCGTCAGAGGCCCCTAACCATTTCCTGGCAGTTGGTTCTTTGGTGTTTAAAGATTGTGGTGTGGTCCTTCGCGAAGAATTAGCACTGTTGTGACCTAAGGAAGTAGGAGAATACCCTGACTAACATGGGGTATTTAACACATCCATATTCGATAGTAGCAGCCGCAGTGTTTCCGCTTGCTACAATTACAGTTACTGGCCTTCATTCTCATCGCGTGTCTTAATCATAAGTGGAAATCACTGATGGAGGAAGCGCGGTTGGTTATTGCTAACACGGGGCCACATATTTGCACTCTTCAACTTGCGCTAAGGCGGTAATATGCATATTACATTGTTTCCTTATTTCAGGAGCGCGTTCAATTTAGTCGACCACTTCGATCGATCTGACATATTTATTCGTCGAATATGTGCAATTTTTTACCCGCCCAATACTGGTGTGTGGCGATATCGTTTGCTCTTTAACAATGTTGTGGCAGCGGATTAACCCTGCATAGCTTCTCTACAGTGTCCCATTATTTGATATGCACTTCGCACCTTCAAAGTACAAACTGTTGCTGCAGGACCACCAGTCACTTGACCATCCATTGACCATAGATTGCGAGGAACTCGAGGTAGTTGATCGATTCACTTACCTTGACGGCTGAATCAGCAAGGATTAGCACATAGCAACTGAGGTCCTTTCACGAATTGCAAAAGCCGAAACTGCCTTCTTGAACCTGCGGAATCTTTGGCTACAGAAGGAAGTTTCCATCAGTCTGAAAGGCCGTGTTTACAAAGCCACAGTGAGGGCCATCCTACTCTGTATGTGTGACACTTGGCCACTTTGATCTGAGGCGCTTTCAAGTCTGATCATCGTTGTCTACGTAGGATTGCTGGTGTCGGATGGTACCAGCGTGTGCCTGATGTGTGTAGGCGCGTACTAGGCACCGATAAACAGACTAGTTTCTTATAACAACAAAAAGCACTGAATAAGTTGCGTTGGCTTGGGCGCTGGTCAGTGGTTGCCGAGAAGTGCCTTGTTTTATCTACCAGATATAGACCGGCGCGAGGCTCGAGGTGGACAAACATTGACTTGCCAGCGGGAAATGAAGTCACTGACGATTAAACTTGACTGCAGTCCATCTGACCCGCCTTGTGCTTGCCTCGAGACTGTACACTTGGCTCGCAGTCGGCACCAGTCGCGCGACTGCTGTCGTTTCCTAGCCGGACTGCCTGTTTAAGGTGTGTTTGGTGCTAAGTTATTTGCGAGGTAAGGGCTGATTATAACGTGGGACAGTGAAGGCCGCGAGGAAGCTGTCTCGCCGATGCCGCCTTATCTTTGCACGATAGTCAGCTGTTTGTGATGGTAGGTTGTTGCCAAGGTGTGGGCACCTTGACCCTGAATGCTTAGTTAAGACATTAAAGTTTCCGCTGTCCCCCTTCTCTTATTATTCTCCGTTCCGTAGTTCACCGTGGTTGTACGGTAGCGGCGCATCAGTTCGAATGGCTGATGTACTGCTGTTGATGACCCCCTCTGTATTCCGTCCGCCTCTAAATTGAGCGTTTTTTCATAGCTTGAACTTTCACTATGTAAACCTTATGGGACTAGACCTCTGTATGTTGACCAACTTTGCAAGATGTATATTTGACCACTTAGGTCACAATTGTCATCTTTAATGTTACTTCTATAAGTTGACTGTGAAGGCTTACTGTGCAATGGTCGCCGAACGTCATTCTTTCGAATAATAAAGTGTATGTAGGGGAATTTCGAAATATGCGAAATTCCCCTAACCCACGAACACTACACGTTACGGCTTCACAGATGTTTGACGATACAGCATTTTTCCTGTCTGTTTATGTGCGTGTGTATTTGTGTTCCGTCTTTCAGTGTTTACTCACATGGACCTTAACCTTGTACATTGTGTCCTCACAGATCCGCGTCCACGGATTGGCCTTGATCGCTTTTGTGTGAACCATCTCACCTGTGTATACACAGGCACTAATACTTCTACTCTTTGGAACTTGTGCCCAGTAGTTGTAGAGATTGCAGCCAATTCTAAGCCAACCGGATCAATTACGTTTGTACTAAAAGAAGCAGGCAAAGGTGGACTTTTTTCAAAAAATGATTCAACTTTATGGAAAGCACACAGCGTTTTGATTTATCTCAATATTTCATAATTTAACTCTGTTTGAATTTATATATGAGCTCATCTAATATCTTCGGAACAGGATGTACGTGGATGTAATGTTTATACAGCGGGAAAGTAAGGTACGCTAAACTTTTGTGTAGGACTTCCTTATGTTGGTCACTTTGGTCCCAATCCCTTAAGTGGTCAACTTACGGAGATTTTATTAAGTATACATATGTTCTAGCAAATGTTGTTTCTCCCCTCTATTCACGGGCTCTTTGGTAACCTATTTGTGGCATTTTCTCTACGATGGCATTTAGATTGCATTCTGTATCCCGCGTTTTCTTTAACCGTTTTTGGTTGCTGACTTTTTGTTTACTAATGTGTAGTAGGGATTTTGGTATAATGCAGATAATTCGTCATCGTCCACTCGGTCAGAAGGCTTTGGCAAGTCTGGAAATGTACCAGACAGCGCCCTTTCGACCCTCTGGGTCTCGTCAGTGGTGCGCCTTCCATCGGATTCATGCTGGGTGCGACTCCATAACTTCCGGATGCCAGCAGCTAGTGCCACTGTCAATCTGGCGCTTTCTTTCACCTCATAACCCATTTTATTTGCTAACATGCATTTATATTGTTATATCCTACCCAAATACGCGTTCACTGAGTTTTTAGTCCTTTTTGGTCGTAATGCATTTTCGCCACGTTCTCAATCTTAGCTACAACTGAAATATCCTCACTTGAGCGCATTCACATAGTTCGACCGAAACGTAGGAGTTTGTAGGACCACTAAACGATTTGACCAATGTAGCCGCTCATGGCTTTGCTTTCTTAACGGATTATTTTCCTTTACAGAGTCACTCCGCCTTCGTTAACGTTGTTCGATTCTGCCCCAGTGGGGACTTTTTCGTCTCGGCCGGGTCGGATGGAAAGGTTAGTGCCCTTTCCTATGTGCTTCACATTCTTCCAGATTTTTGCCTACGACGGCCAGGATGGATCGTTAATCGGTGAAGTTGGCGACCAAGCACACGCCGGTGGCATTTATGGGGTTTGTTTTTCAAAGGATGGTTCTCGTATGATCTCTGCCTCTGCGGATAAATCTTTGAAGTTATGGGAAGTCACCGGGAAGCAGATGGTCTTCGTATCTCAGTACACTTTCGACAACGTGCTCGGCAATATGTTGGTATGTGACCCCGTATACTTATCCCAGGTCTTCTCTTTGATTACTCGTCATTAGCACATCTACATTCCGTTCAGATGCGCTGACCATTCCATGAAGTCCTTCTTCATGTCTTTTCCCCGCTCACATAGTGGTTTGATGGAAGCTCGTTTTACAAGACCATGACGAGCTCTCAGTTTTCCCTATGCCTTCTCGTCGGCCGGTGGCCGAGTGGTCTGCACGCCTGGCTTGCAATCATAAGGTCACCGGTTCCAATACGCGTAGGGGTGGGCGTCCTCACTGGGTACTCAACCCACGCGCGAGTGCTTTTGGTCGCGCGGCAGCGAAAAGTCGTTGCGGCGCATTCACGCGATATTGTCCTTTTCTAACTGTCATCTCCTGTACGTGTTCGGCCAGCGCATTCTGTTCCATTAACTCAGCATTTAATACACATGGTCTATAAACCAATCCAGCTACCATAGCGGCGCGCCAAATCCGAGCTGAGCGAAAATTTTACTATCCTCTTTACACCAACGTTACGAGATCCAGTACAGACCCCTATTTTCCGAGGTGTACAACCTACGAACGCTACTCCTGCTTTTGTCACTACACCATATATTTCATACAGCGTCACATTCACAGTCAAAACGGTGGTGAAAAACTGCTATACTTGCGTATCCACAGCTCCGCTGGAACGGACAACCTTCACCCGAAAGCACTGCAGGTAACAACCATACACCTGTCTCAACTACTTGCCGGATTAGTTCAGCATTGTCTAAACATTGTTCCCATAACGTGGAAACTGGGTATTACCACCCATAATTACAAGGGAAGAATTCGATCTCATCCTGCTAGTTACCACCCTGTAACGCTTCTTCCTGTGCTTGCCAAAGTCATGGAAGCGATCATCGCGGAGGTACTCATGGGCTACCTGGAAACCTATGGCAACCTTGAGCTGGAGCAGCATGGATTTCCTCAACATCCATCATGTAGCACGAATCTGCAGAGAGCACGTGACAACTGATCCGGAACAGTTGATGGCGTGACAGGAACCGTTGTTCTCTACTTGGAATTTTTGAAAGCCTGCGATCGGTTGGATAATCGAATTCTGCTGCACAAACGTCGGTATTACGTCATCTGAGCTCCAGTATTAGGATGAACCGGTAACTATTTTGTGAACAGCAATTGGAGGTTCGAATGTAAACATCTGTCCGACCCGATTCGGATAGAGTGCCCCACAACATTGATCAACAAAATCTTCCAATGCTTCGCGTCACCCTCCGTACCAAGAACGACTGGTGACACTCGGAGTGTTCTGTGGACGCTACCGGTGGCCATATGGAGACCTCATACTAGTTTACCAAATGTTGTGCGACCCAAGTAACGTATGCTGTCACCTTTCGAAAATAAGCCCGAACACCAACCTCAGACTCAATAGCCTAAAACGGAGTCAAAAATACAGTCGTCTAGATTTTCGATGAGCGTATTTCTCCCTCTGGGTCCGCCAACTCTGTAACGCCCTTACTAACTCAGTTGTCTGTGTCTCCACCTCAGCTGTTTTCAAAATCGAATTGAACGCCCTACACTTTGTTTCAGGAAATCTGACAGAGTATCTCTGGAAAGTATACAGTGGTCAGTCACCAAACGTCTGCTAGGCAAAACTTCTACTAAGAACTATCGGGAGTGCTGCTAACGACTTCTACTCTCTCTACGTTGACTATGAAGCTTGAGGCTTAACCTGATGCTTCTGCACAACCTGTTTCATCAAAACGCCCGCTGCTATTCCTTCCTTAGAACTACAACATAGTTCGATAATGGAGCTACTCAATGAAGTGCTTACTCCGAGTGTACCCAGGTGCAGGATAAATCTGCGGTCCAACTTTTTCCTTATCAGATATGGAATATGCTCCCAGCCACAAGCAGATCATATGAGAGCGCAGCGCCCTTTCGCATTAAGCTCGCCAATTACCTAGACTTGAACACTATTATGACCCTGTTCTCTTGGGAGAGATTACTTGATGATGTGTCCCAAGGAGGGCCGGATGACAACAAAGCCGCGGGACCAGATGATCTCCATCCAGCTTTCTTCATATTCCGGGGCCCTGCTCTTGTTGATGCTTTACATTAATTACTTGTGAAACTGTGGGAGAAGGAAACTGCTCCTACCGACTGGAGGCGATCCGTTATTGTTCCCATCTAAAGGAGGCTTTCGCTCGGAATGCGACAATTATAGAGGAATCAGTTTGATCCCCATCGTCTCCAAAGTACTTACCTCTATAATCCTTCACAGACTGACTGGCGCTCGTGAAAACTAGATTCGTGAGGAGCAGGCCGGGTTTCATCGTGGTCGTGGCTGCATTGACCACATCTTCACCTTGCGTCAATTGTTGGAGCACCGTCACACATATCGGTGACCTACCGTAGTCGTGTTCCTTGTCATCAAAGGTGCCTTCGATTCAGTTGATCGATGTGCTCTTTGGGACTGTCTACTCAGGAAAGGTGTGCCCGAGAAATATGTAAATATTATCCGAGCATTATACGCGCGTAGCACGGGTAGTTTGAGGGCTTACGGGAAACTGTCACCGCCCTTCAATATCTCTTGTGGTGTGCGACAAGGATGCCCGTTGTCAGCTTTCCTTTTCAACTTCGCTATTGACGAAGTCATGGAGATCGCGTTCACACTACACGACATAGGTAAGCAGCTACTCCCAGAAGAACCACATCTTGACTTGGAGTATGCAGACGACATTGCCCTCATCTGTGACAGCTCCCAGACGTGCCAAGCCGCATTGGACAGATTAGCACTGGCTGTCAGCCGCTTCGGGCTTCGCTTTGCACCCTCGAAGTGCAAAGCTTTCATCCAAGATTGGCAGGGATCGCCTCCTGCGCTGACCCTTGGTGGGGATCAGCTAGAAGTCGTTCAACCATTCAACTACTTAGACAATCGTACCAGCGCCGTTGGAATTGAAGAAATCACGAACCGTATAGCAAAATTTTGAAGTGCTTTTGCTAACCTTCGCCACCTATGGCGCCGGCGCGACATCACTCTCATCCTGAAGGGTAGAGTGTACAATGCAGTGGTACGTTCGACCTTACTGTAGGGCTGCGAAATCTGGTCCCTTAGATCAGCAGACATAAAGTGCCTAGTTACGTTCTACCACCGGTGCCTTCGCAGTTTGATTCACATCGAGTTGGAACACCGGGTGAGCAACGAGCATGTTCGACTCCCCAGGAAAATGAATTGAACGGCTCAGCACCGTTATTTCACGCACCAGGCTCCGATGGCTCGGCCACGTGTTACGCATGCCAGCCCACCGACTCGCGCGGCATGCATTGTTTGCTCACCGGGGATGTGGATGGAAGAAGAGGAGAGGTGACCAAGCGATGAGTTGGTCGAGAGGAATGAATGCACTGACTTCGTAGCTGACCTCCGTTGAAGCTTCACGGCTCCCTGGTTGGGGTTCGAAAGACGGTGAACACGTTTGGCTGGATACACTTGCTGACATGGCAAGAAGCCCACCCCAATGACGTTCGTGCTGTGAGTTACTTTGTCCCTCCCCATCCCTCTTAGCCCCCCCTCCAACCACGATTTCATTTTTTTCCATAATATAACTACATAATAATTTTTTGCATGCCTAGTAGCCGGCTGGTAGGCTTCCGGAACGATGCCCATCCGTTGCTGTAGCTCAGCTGGTATGCAACCGGTGCATTTATTTTCTTTTTTCTTCTATGTATTGCGGCACAGTAGCTTGGGTGTTTTACACATCTAGCTAACGTGTATGATGATGATGATGGGTGAAACACAAAAGTTTCACGTAGTGTCGTATACCCCTAGTGCTGCTACTATCTTTTAACCAAGCTAGTGCACATTGCTTTGCAACACACCTGTGACCAAATAATACCCTTATAACTTCAAATATAACGCAAATCACAAATGAGCATAATACATTCTGTATAACATAATCAGTGCCAGCTATGGGCACATTTTCTCACTCGATAATAAATATACTTATTATTATTAATACATGTACGGATATTCTGAATATATTCAGGCTAAATAGCCTACAACGACGCACGTAAATCTGCACAAACGGGTGAGCGAACTGTTTGTTATTTGCAAGGTGTATTAACCATAACACTACTTATTTCTGTTTGTTTGGTTCCATCTCGTTCCCACAAGCCTGCAATACGCCATTACTCTGTCGCTTCACAGCTGCATACTTTATTTGGTCCACTTTTCATTGCATGAATTTCACTTTCTTCTATTACCAACCAACGGGACATGTAAAGCATGTGCTTTTCACCCGTTATAAACCATTGTTCTTGAAATAGTTTACTATGTCGACACGGAATGGCCAATATCTTCATTATTGGGAACACGCTGTCCTCACGCTGGGCAAAACGGTTGCTCCTTGCAGGAGGTCAGCAGCTTCCGCCCGAGAGATCACGTTTCTTTATCACGCTAGTAAGGGCAAATGTCCTCTGACCCGCGAAGTCATACTCAGCATCCAAATAACTCGCTTTATGAGTATCCACTTGTAATGCCTGTCTGCACATTTTTTATTTGCCTATGGTTTTGTAATCCTGAAGATAACTATCGAAAACCTATGCTCGCTAACCCTGATTTCTGATCTTATTGTAAGATTTTTAAAGCTATGGAGCACCGCTTAGATCCTTCTGCATTAAAAACGCTAACCATATCTATGGGCTTTAGAACCAACATTACGAAAGCGAATATAGGTCTCGATTTCCTCGATAATGGCATAGAAAGTAAGGTCTATCCGTAGAACTACTGGAAATCTCTTCATCGCTCACGCACCAGACCCTTCTATCCCGTACTAAAGTGACCAAATGTCCACAAGTGATGGATAGCGCCACCAGAAGCTACTGAGGCAGACAGCACTACGGAAACGAGTGAGAACTCTGTGAAAAGCTCACGATGGAAATACTAGAGGCAGACCGATGGGCGATGCAGATTTGATACTTGAAAGGCGGTTAGATTTAGATGGAAAGTGTGACCCTTCTGCAAAGCGGCTGCTGCGCTGCGCATTGCTCCCATACGAAGAGTTTCAATCATATCGATAGATCACTGTTGTTTGTCTTGTCGGCGAGAATTATCATCTGTTTTGAGGTAGCACGTAAATCCGAACCATTTGTATCGACCGTCTCTAGTTCAGCACCTGACGACACTTCTGATGCAGCGATTACGTCTCGGATCAACTAACTTCTACAGTCCAACCTGCTATGGCAACCAACCAGAAACATCCCCGACGTTTTCCCCTATAAGTAATGTCCCTGTTTATGTCGATCATCTGTCCATGGCGGCCACTTTTTGTCGGTCGCTTGAGTGGGCGTCTCAGGCAAGTTTGACTCTATAATGATTCACTTAACGGACGCTAAGCATTGCGTCACCAGCAAGGGCCTTAAAGGTGGAGTTCAAGTTACCGTTTAAATACATCGGAAGGCGTGAAGGATCTTACCGGCGGATTGTAGCCACAATTCTTGTCTGATAAGGTAGACAGGAACCTCTGGACGATGACTAAACCGTTCATTCAGTTTTTCTTCGTAGGCTGCTAATTCGATAAGACGGATATGGGCTATGCGGTGGAGCTGTAGCGTTAAGTCTCAGAAGGAAACTGCGCTGTCGCGTCCATTCATCCACAGTAGAAACATCGGCATTCACTAGAAATCGTTCTTTCTTTGTAACGTTTGCCGCCACCGTTTCGATGCATTTTCTCGTGCCGATGGATTACCCAATAATCGGCTGCCAATCTGACCCATAGTTGTTGGGAATGTTCGTTCACCTATTTCTCCATGAGAGTGCTGACTCAGTGTCCATCTACCAGTCACACGGAACTTTTAGTAATAGATAAATCTTTCTAGTCGTCCACGTAAAATAAGGGGCTGCTCGAGTTCACCCTTTCAAGGTCGCCGTCTTATAAAAGCGGTATTTCCTCTACATGCACAGACTTTACAGATAACCTAAGCTGCTGGCCCTCGCACACATGTCCAAGTAACGTATATCCCAGCAAGATTTTAGCAGCGAACGGAGGTTGCCGACCGCTCCGACGCTCTTCTAGCTGCCAGTGGACTTCGAGATAGCTGCTGTCGGAAGTATCCAAACTCTAGGGTCTTCTATCGAGTATAAGATACATGGAACCAACGGCTCACCACTTGGCTGATGGGGCCCGATGCGGAATTCCGTGGTAGGCGCATTAGGCTATATAAGCGCGTTCAACTGTAACCGAAGCAGAGCCATCCAGGGCCGATAAACAAAAATCTGCAAAACTTGTGTCCAATGATGTAAAACCACAGTTTGTACTTTTAGAGACGCAACATTCACACTAACCCTGACATGTTACGAAATCACTCTTTATAAATAAATAAATGCGAAGTACGCCTGCATAGTCATGATCCTGGGGAAACAAGCTTTAAGGACCGGTAAATGTAAAATATGGTAAAACTTTCTCAGTGGCATATGGATCAGTATGATTGGCATAGGTATGAACGTGTATGACTATGTTGCTTGGATTTGCTAATGTAACGCCGTAGTTGTGACGGTTTTGGTCGGATCGTCAGCGTGAGAATGGATGAGTGGAGATCTTCGTATTGGTTGACTGATGTTCGGGGATTGGGTAAGATCATCCGGATATGTAGGTGACAGTGACTCTAGTTAGTGGCGTCATATTCGCCACGTCTCAGTGTTGTTAAACCGATATTTGTGGGTTTTTTTGGGAGAACGCTTGCCAGGTAGAAACCCACCACGTCCTGGAACAGTGCCACCGAACTATCCACTGGAACCAGATTAATCCGGACCACCAAGCTGGCACCACGGGAGGTTGTTCGACGTGCCAGAACCGTTGCACAATAGTCAAGACCGGCCTCAAGGGACCCACCAAAAGTACCGGAACCACATAAAAACACCTCGAAGACAGAACTGACTGCATGGAAAACGCTGGTCTTCTGCGGAGATCTCAGTGTTTTCCGCATGCAACGGGATGGTGCATTCCCTTACATGCAGATAGTCTGTCTCCTTAACACATCTCGACAGCTCACAGCTCGATGACCTAGTCTCAGACGGTTGAAACACCCTTCTTTGAATGTTATATGCTCCTGGCGGCCGGGAGATCAGAAGACAGAAATATCGGACATGATGCTGCGGCACATTATTTGCTGCAGGCTAGGCATTCTGATGTACTGGGTCTCTCCGATGAGGCGTAAAAAGCGAAATTACCGTCGGTTCGTTTGTCACTCGACCGTTGCAATTGTACAGCTTTCTGAGAACATGGAATGGTCGTAGTCTCCAGTTGGCCTAATCTGCTTTGTGCCACTCGTACTTCGGTAGCGACAGTCTGTCAATGCTTTAAAGGATACGTCCCGTCCCTTCTGAGAGTGAATCTGTACCATTGTATGATTACCTAAAAAACAAGATGCTGATACTATGCGAACGTCTTTGAATGTATTGGTGAATATTGCGGCACCCCTTGACATGAGCTTCTCACTTTTAAATCTCGAAATACAGCCCATGACACGGGTACTGGACTACCATTTTCAAGAATTAGCAAACATATCATTGAAATCTTCGACCTATTGCCTATCTGGGTAGCTGCACTAACTCTGGTGGTCAGTTCACAGAAGTGAGTGTTCGTACCAATAATCCCATCTTACATTCTGAGCACTGGTCGTCTGTGGACATTTTGTCTGTCCGTTTGCTGGTCAGCGACGAGGCTTTCCTATACTGCATTGCAACCAGTATGCTTCAATGACTTGACCACAGTGCTCGGAAGGCACTGACTGCTGATGTCTGCGTTGCATTGTCCATATCTAGTGTTAGCCCTGAATAATCATTACTAAGGTTCCCCAGTTTGTCTTTGAGGACAGACGCTCAGGTGTTGAATTGGAACTGTTCGCGTTGGTTGAATCACCTGTTTTACGTTTGTCCGTCGATCATCTACCTCTTGCGATTAGTGGCTGAGTGGTTTCTGGTGTTTGCCTTTTGCTCGACCTGCGGCCCATGAGAGCCTGTGTAGTGCGGACGACTCGACAGTACGCCCACCCCACATGCACGACTGCTGACTGTTGCGTGGTAACGAAGCCCCGGTAACAAATACTGGCGTACTAGGGATGCTTTTGTCTGCCTCTTCGGCTTGCATTGTTTTCGGCCACCTCTTTTCCAGATGATACCACAGAGTAGCCAGCCAACAACATGGCGAAAGGCAGAACCTAGAGACTCGGTGGAACTGGTGTACTCAGTACTCCTAGATGAGGGCCTTTGAACCATCGTTTACCTGATTGTCTTTTGTTCGATCGGATGAGCCTTTTCCTAATTATTTGTGCACTTGTGATCAGTCCGAAAAGTTTTTTGCTTTCTATATGACTCATTTTCTGTCCATTTTTCACGCCTCTATTTCACCTCTGCTTTTCTTCTCTGTTTTTGATTTTTTTTCTTATGGCGAGGCACTTCTGTGACTGAGTCAACTTTGAACGACCAAGCTAGAATGACTTGTGTGCAAAGTCCTCGTCCGTCCGAATGATCGTATTTATTCTCTACCTCTTCTAACGTTGCAAAGTGCGAATTTGTAGCCTATCTGAACCTTAGGGTTCATTTATCGGAGACAGATCCGTTCCTGCAATCAGCTGAGCTGCACGCACATGATGACTCAAGGGGACTATTCTTGTGCACTGTGCAGATTTTTGCAACCCTCAGCTGCTCTAGTGAAACCATCCCCGGAGCAAGTAACCAGCTTTATGCGCCATCCTCCTCGAGGGTGGAGACTGCTAAACAAATTCTCCGGTTTTCTCCATCCGTCATATCGTGTTGTAAAGTAACCTCACCGACAGACAATATACCCCCGTCGCTATTCAACAACCACTAATCAAACTCCTTGTTTATTTTATACCTGACCTGAATTGGTGTGGTGCAGTCCCCAATGTTCTTTCTTTTAGATTCACTTTTTAATTTAAGTTATAGTGAAAGCACATTATCTGAACATTTAATTACTATCCCACGGTCATAACTGCACTCTTCCTACTCAGTTACTAACCCCGCTTGCATTCTTCGAATATCTTTTGCATATTCCCAATGTTACGAAGCCACTCGCCAATTCTCTCTCATAATCTCATTGAATGCCTTTATTTTCGTCAGTTAGGTTGTTGCTGGGTCAAGGATACGCTTGTTGTGGCAAGTCTCAGTGGCTCCATCCATCTCTTCGATGCACCTCCCAGTATCACGCACTTATCCTCACCGCGAACGGTTCTGAGAGGACACGCATCCTTCATCACTTGTGGTGCCTACAGCCATGAGCACAAATGCTTGGTCACTGCGTCCTCCGATTCCACCGTGGCAAAGTGGGATATCGCGTGGTGCCGCGCTGATGTGTTCTCCGGCGAACACGCTCACAAAGCTCATGTGCAGAGCATGGCTTTGACTAATACTGACCTTTTGGTCACGGTGGGATTCGACGACCGATGCGTACTGTCTGACATTTATACTTCTACATACATGTGAGTAAAACACATTTCAGCTGAATAAAATGACGCTCAAAATGTTCGCTGACTTCGCTCTGTACGATGGATTGGTCGCATTTTCATACTGCTGATCGCTGTAGTTTGTTCATCTTTAAAACATCCTTCCCGAAATTTCTAGTACCTTGAAGGATTTTCCATTTAACTATATCTTCGCACTATAGTTGGAACTAAATTTATATATACCATTCATATTTCGTATATTTTTTGTACGTGTCTCCTTGTCGAAGTGTTCAATTCTTTCAGGCTTCTTCCATTGGAAACATTCTATTAGCACGTTGACTGCGTAATCCAACAGATGCTCTTGACTCCTTTAATTCTTGCATCTTCTGTCGCTATGGGAATTTTCCTTTATCGAATGCGCCGCTCGGTTTGTTCTGTCTTTACTTATAAGGTTATTATTGCTTCCTGTACTATCGACCAGTTTTTGCTAGCATCTCTACCACGTGTTTTCCTTTAACATGTTATCATTTCCACTTTTATACCTGTTGTGCTGTCTGGTCTGTTTTAGCTCCTCTCTGCAGCTTCCCTCCCAACCTCGTTGTGTGGGCGTGTTTGCAACCCATATGCTAGTATTCATTGGGTGTGACCAACATTTGGTTCTGGCAAACATCACAGACAAAGCACTTTGTCCATTGGATCAGCAGACTCTGACATCCAGTGCACGTGCCTTAACCGTCTCACCTTCCTCTGGTACCGTCCTACTGTGTTGTGAGGTAAGTATGGTTTCTACTATTTACAATCGGGGTCGTCTTGTATGTAATGCGTTTATTATTATTAAGTAGAAACGCCCACACTATTTTTACTATTATTGTTAGGGGTTTTCGTGCAAAATGCTAGCGGCGCATGAAGCTGCATCTCGGTATTATCAGTGATGGTTACATATCTCATAACCAATGACACCCGAGGTAGTTTAACGCCAAAGGGTTTGTGCTTGCCTTTTGCGGCGCCGGCAGAAAGACAAAATGAACCAACACGAAACACGCACATGGAACGATGCCCATTTTTAGCATTGTTACAAATTCTTTATTATTCATAATTTTTATTTGTAATACTATGAAAGTTCTAGTTTCAAATTTTGTCTCTAACAGCTGCGGAAACAGAGCTTGTAGCTACGTTATTGATTTGAAGTCGAATAATGCAAAGTTTAACGCATGGCTGTTTTTGTAATGCCATCAGTAAACAAACTAGTGATTAGAAATGGAAGACGCAAATGTCAAAGAAACCGAGAACAATGCCCAGCGACCTGGAGCGCCGTAACCTCGTAGTCTTTCACGCAAGGTCTGATTGATAGACTGCTCGACATGGATGAGGGCGAGCTGAAAGTGCAACTAATCGCCCATCTCGGAAAGAGAACCGATGACAAAAGTCGACCTATGAGGTGACTTTTGTTGAAGTGGCAAGTGGTAAGTTGATATTGTCCCTCCTTAGTAGACTGAAAAGTCTATAGATCCACGCGACGAACTTATCAAACTTAAGCCGCCAATTAACCTATGGCATTATAAGCAGTTTGGTCTGCGTTCTGATTATAGAGTAGTAGGGGGAGTTGAATGGTATAGGTAGAAATTCGTCAGAGGGCTACCCTGTCCTCTGCACGGTAGTAAGGTGCGAGCCAATGGATAGTGAGCGGCGCTGTATCACATCTAGTAACTTAGCCACGATGGTCGTTGCCGTCCCCGTAGCACAGTGGTCTCAACCACGAACTAGCAACAGCCGAGTTGCGGGTTCGAGCCCTACCAGGGGTCCGAGGGAATGCGCACTGCTGACGATTCCTGAAAGGATGAAACGCGCGTACATTGTTTTCCCGGGCGTGTGATGACTCTAAGTGAGTCTAATGTGACGAATTTCCACCTATACCATTTAACTCCCCCTACTCCTCTTCTATTTTCGGCTAATCACCCGGATTCCTACACAAATCCGGATCAACAGTTTTCTGATGCTTCAGGCGCACCCAGCGGTTCCTTCCGCGGCCTGCGCATAGCATTTACTAACGTCTGCGGTCTGCTGAACAAACGCGATGAACTGTGCTACTTTGCAACCTCTCAACGGCCAGATATATTAGGCCTTGTTGAGACATGGTTAAATCGACGAAATCAGCAGCTACTTGTGCTTCCGCTGTGATAGACCATCAAATGATTGCGGGGGCATCCTGCTTTACATAAGATCACTCTTGTGTTGGACACTAGTGAGCACTTACCGAAGCGCTGATAGTCTATGTGAGCAGTTATGGTGTTAGATTCACCTCAAACGCTACGAGATGCACATGGACGTGGTATATCACTGTCGCTACTTGGACTGGTTGCCGCCTGTGCGCAACCACGAGTCGTCCGCTGTTCTTGTTCATGGGTGATTTCAGCTTACCTCGAATACAGTGGCCTGAGGCTGAACATCCCCGCTGTTGTGATATTTGATATTTGATACTGAGGCCACCAACCCACCCGCATAACTGCGCGCGCGACTCCATCGTGCTTAGACCTGCTTTTGACCAACTGTGAGCAACGTGTGCATAACATTCAAGTCTTGAAGTGAGGTCTTGGGAGCGAACGACTAATCGATGATCATAGCCAGCTTGGAACTGCCGCTGCCATATTCTCCCCGCTGGAACCAGCCTTCAACTATTGGAAGGCGAACTTTAATGGCCTCACTCGAGCAGCGAGTCCGATGGACTGGTCCTTACCAAAAGATTCGTCCGTTGAAACCTGTTGGACTATCATTAAAGGGGAGTGAAATCGTTGTGTGCCCGATTTGTACCCCGCAAATATCGGAAAGTTGGATCAGTCAAACCGCTGGTTCTACAAGGAGTACAGCAAACTGGCCAGACGACGACGCAGACTATGGAACAAATTCGTGTTATATAACTCTACTGAGGACTAGAAGGCGTACAAGGTGCAGCGAAATCTGCGAAAACGCGAACACAAAAGTGCAGAAGCTTCGAAGTGCAGGTTTCAGCTGCCGCAAAAACTGATCCCAAGAAGGTCTTCGCCTACGTGAAGCGGTGCCTTTGGCCTGCGCACAATGTGCCATTGTTGGAACACTCAAATGGACAACCCTTGACCCCGAGCACAGGTCGTGCGTACGCATTGGTAGCGCACTTCACTTTCGTGTTTCCAAGTGACCAGGTGTCTGTACCGAGTTTCGACGGGTGCCCCTCCCGCTGAACTTGACAGCCTGGATTGCAGCATTGAAGATGTACGCAAGCTGCTGACAGGTCTTGATGGAACAAGGCCTGCCGGTCCCGATGGAATCCTCCCGCTGAACCTCAAGTCCTTATCAGTCATCATCTCCTTTCTGTAGCCAAGTTGTTCAGCAGGTCACTATCCACTAGTTTATTGTCGAGCGACTGGAAATATTCGTGATACCAATACCGAAAGGTGGTGACCCAAGCAAAGTGGATAACTACCGGCCGATCTGCCTGATCGCTGTTTTGGCAAAGACGCTTGAGAAGATCGTGAAGAAGGGTTTTCTGCAGATTCTAAAGTCGAAGAGCCTCTTGACGCCCGCAAAGCATGGTTTCGTGATAGGTCGCTAATGCATCACCAACTTCCTGTTGACGAGACACGAATGGTTGCAAGCGCTGAACCAAAGCAAGTCAGTCGACGTCATTTACATTGACTTCAGTAAGGCTTTTGACAAGGTGAATCATGAAGTGCACCTCCACAGGTTGAGGGTGTGCGGTGTTGGCGGCTCGCTGCACCGATGGATCAGGAAATTTTTTGTTGGTCGAAAGTGGAGGGTCCAGGTCGACAACCATTTGACCGACTGGTGTCCATCGAGCAGTGGCGTGCTCTAATATACTGTGCTGGGGCCCATTTTGTTCCTGACCCGTGTAAAAGATGTACCTCAGCTTCTCCGTCTCTCCATGTAGTCTGCAGAGGTCAACCTTCCGATCAACCCGGTCAAGTCGCAATTCATGAGGCTGAGTAAGTGTGAGCACAGTCGAACATACACTGTGGTCGGTCAACCGTTGCATCCCGCGCCTTTCGTATGAGACCTCGGTGTACTCTCACGCTACGACCTTAAGTCCATGGACAACATGAATAGGCTTTGCCAAAACGGCCTTAATATGCTTTGGGCGCTCAGCCGCTGCTTCATCAATTAGTCTGAAGAGATTGCTTTTCATCTCAGTCTCAATAATGCTACCTATGATAAAGTATGGCTCTCCCGCGTATTGTCCTATCACCCGGGGCGAGGTAGAAAGGATTAAGCGAGTGCAGCATGTGGCCACCAGGCTTATTTCCAACTTACGAGGTGTGGCGTACGAAGACCGGTGTAAGAAACTAGGACTTTACACCCTAGATTATCGTCGACTGTGGGTTGACTTCATCATGACGCACCGGACATTACATCTCAGTGAATACCTCATGTTGTGGCCGCTGCTGCATCTGCACACACCAAGCAGCACACGAGAACACCGGTACAAGCTTGCAGTACCGGATTTGAAGCGGATTGCCCACCAACTCTGTTTCGAACAGAGAGTGGTGAGTGTATAAAACTCTGCCGCAGCACGTAGTTGAGGCAAAGCCGGTGTCGGAATTTAAGCAATTCCTGGACAAGCACTTTGCGGATATAAAATATTTCGAGCGCACTCCAACATAACCGGTCCATGTACCTGAGTGATATTAGTTACAGCTACACAGAGATATCTCTTCTTGCTGTTTTCAATCAGTAACAATTCTGACATTTTTGGGGTTTGAATATCTAACCTTTCGCACTTCAGATGGAATCGGCACAGTTGATCTATAGAGTGCAACTCATGTATGTGGGGCGATGGTGGCATCAACTAGGCATTGTCGTGACTCATGTCATCCAAAAGCAGAATCCAGTACTTTTAGAGGTAAAATGAAACCTGGCATAAGAGTACTTAATGCTACATCTCGCAGTGTGGCGTGAAATGTGTTGTCAGTATTGCGTAATGAACAAACAATCATGGAACAATCACTCTCTTGAATTACTTTTCTGAGTCACAGAAAAGCACACATTTCCATCTTCCAACAACAATGTGCTTTACTCTCCCTCAGAAGGGCAACGAACGAATACTTCAGGGTTCTAATGTGAGTGATCTCAACGGAATTTTGTATTAATTTATAAAGGACATAAAGCATAAATAGTCTACGGAAATGCCACTTTTGTGAACGTTCCCGACATGTTTTATCAATTGTATATGGCACACCAGAGTTGGCAGTTCTTGCCCGCATTTTCTTGCTGCAGAATACCGTGACTTATATAAGAATGTTTGAAATGAACCTGTTTTTCCCCGACTTCATGACACTGTAGATTTTAGTATATTTTGAGAAGGCTTCCATGGTCACAGCAACAATTGCTTTTCCAGACCCTGAAATCAAAGGCTGCTTTTCCAACGTGTGCCAAAGTCAAATCAGAAATATCGGCAAGATTGCATTTGAAGCTGCTGTAAACATAAAACTCCAGCTCAAGCCTTTGATTGCCTTATTCATTGTCTCAGTCTATGATGTAAGATGAGTTTCTGATGAATACTGTGGATAGCGAGCGAGAAGATAATAGAAGATAAGGATAATAGCCGGTTCAGAGAACTGCACCCGCACAACGATCCAGTTGTAGCCCCCACTTGGCTGCATTGACCGACGCTCGAATGAACAAGTGGCTCTTTTGTCCTGAATCAATCCACACGCACACTGTCCAAGAGGACTCGCTCTTGTTAATTTTTGTTAAATTGCCCATCCCTGCACCAGGCTTTGAG